AAGACAAGAAGAAAATACTTTGTTCATGTTTGTTTATTCATCATGTAAACCTTCAGTTTGTGTAAAAGACATTAATGAATGATCTCCTTATTGATTATGATCAGGATCATTACAGTTTCTAGTAGCTAACTAATCTGCCACACCAACACATTAAAAGCTAATTATACATTTCTGTACAAATTTACAAGCACAATATCTGAGATAAAGGAGGTCTGCTGATTTCTCTCTTCAGACTCATGCAGTGGGAGAGAAACAACAACATACAAATACATCCACTGAAATGTTCATTAAACATTCAGAGCACAAAGAAGTTTACAACACATCATGATGAGCAGTGACAGCCTCCACGGCTAAACACACACAGGAAGGAGCGCCACCGCAAGAAATATTTACACAACAACTCAGGAGAAGACGTCAAAGTACCGCCCATAAAGTTTGACTGACAGCTGATCTCAGTGCAGTGAAGAGACGCCACAACAATCAGCTCTCAGCGACAAACATGGAGACTGAATAAGATTTGAAACACATATTGCAAAATTGTTTTGGAAACATTGTCGTATTGATGAAAGGTAAATGCAACTTAAAGCAATGGAAACTCAGCAAATGTACAGTCATTGCATAGGCCACTGCAAGCTCTAATCCTTGTTTCTGAAGGCTTTCAACATGCTTATGTATGCATACCAGTTATTCACCAGAACACAGAGCTCAGAGCTGTAGTTGTTCAAAATGCTCTGTGGCCCAACTATTAGCTTTTTTTTTGTGTGTGTTGTGTTTCTGTGTTTCTGACAATTCAGCCAAAATTTGCATTACTTTTGGATGTAAATCCAACTAGTGTTTCCATGAGATGGGTAAAGCAAAAATCCAGCATAGAGAGGCTGAGTGAATGTGGTCTGGACTCTGTGGAGGAGAGTCATGGTTTCAGAGACGCTGTAGAAGGACAGAATACCTGCTCTGTGATCCAGGTACACTCCTACTCTGGAGGACCGAGGACCTGAGATGGGAGTTTCAGCATTGTTGTACAAAAATTTATAACTGCTCTTCTCACACCTTAACGCCCAAGATTTGTCATTCCATCCCAATCTACATTTATTTATGCTCCCTGCTCTGCTGATGTTTTTGTATGTGACTGCCACATAATCTATTCCCCCGCTCCACTCCACCTCCCAGTAACAACGTCCAGTCAGACTCTCTCTACTCAGGACCTGAAACTCTTCAGTGAATCTGTATGGGTGATCAGAATAAGACTGTTGTTGATTCATTAATGTCACCTTTCTGTTCCCTTCAGATAAAAACAAACGTGTGTGTGCTGTGTTTGGATCCAGTGTGATTTCACGTGAATATTTTAAGAACTCAGCTCTGGTCTTGGGCTCTGGGTCTGACAGTAAAACATCCACGTCAGTCACTGTCAGTGAGATGTTTGTCCATGTCTCCCTCAGAACTTCCTGTAGTTTATCTCTGACTTCTGACACAGCTGCTGTCACACCCTCAAAGTAGNAACAGGACTTGAGGGCTTTCAGTTTTCTCCCAGTGCAGACATCACAGGCCACATCTTCAGCTCCAGCATAGCAGTGATCAGCAGGAGCAGCTTGGAGTCCAGTCTTCTTCAGTTCCTCCACTAAAACTGCTAACATGGTGCTTTTCACCAGGACAGGCCTCGGTGTGAAGCTCTGCCTACACTGAGGGCAGCTGTAGATTTTCTTCCCATCCTCTTCATCCCAGTGGGTTTTAATACAGTTCATGCAGTAGCTGTGTCCACAGGGAATAGTTACCGGATCCTTCAGTAGATCCAGACAGATGGAACAAGAGATGGTTTCTCGGTCCAGCTCAACTCCTTTCTGCGCCATTTCACCTCTCAGTGACAACGCCTGTCTGACTCTCACTTCCTGAACAGTGAAACTAGTGTGAGCTCTGAACTGAACATCATGTGTTCCTGCAGTGAATGGAGCCTGTCAGCTCTCTCACGTCACCACATGTTGGTTACACCCATCTTCAAACTGTAGATCTGAAGGGGAGGGAACAAGGAAATGTGTGAACAGAGTGGAGCTCGCTGTGTGTGAGAGCAGGAGGAGCAGGAGGAGGAGGGAGGGCTCATCCAGCTTTGCTTCATTCCAGGAAGAGAAGCAGTTTGAGACAGAGATACTGTGTGTTTCACACTTGTTTCAAGTAAAGCTCCTTTCTCATTTAAAAACACTGATCACTTCAACTTTTAGGAGGTAAACTCTTAGAATCAGAGGGTTTGGAGACGGCTCCTCAGTCCTTAAAATGGGCTCTTCTCATTTACCAAAACTACAGTTTGAATAAAGTTTTTCATGATTATAATAATTTACATACAGTGGATACAAAAAATAGAAAATTTAAACACTGCTGTAATAATATTATCAAACTGTTTTGACTCATTTCATAAGTCCATGAAGTACTTTTGAAGAAAACTGGTTATATTCAAAATGTAAATTTGAATAAAATGTGTATTCTAATTTTTGATTCATTTAAACCAATAAATGACGAGTTAATTGTTGCTTCTCTGAATCCCTCAGGACCTGAATGCACCACATCATTTGACTCTGCAGTTCAGTGAGAGACATATTTATTTTTCTTATTTATTTTGTTCAGGTTTTTACAAACTACATATTATTTTCTTCATATCCTCCTTCTTAAATCAAACCATATTCTAAATGTCCGTCACTGCAGCTCTGTCTCATCATGTATGTCTTTGTTTACATGTTTCCATTATTGACTCTGTCCAGTGTGATTTTTTTTTGGAGTATATGTTGATATATTCTTTTAGGCAGTTTGTCACAGTAGTGAATTTGGGCAGCAGGAGGAGGACGACTGAAATGCAGACAAACACAAAGAAATGAAGGTAACAGTGAGGAACAGGCTCACAGGCTGGAAACAGGATGGCAGTCAAAACAGTCAAACAAATCCAAGGCCTGCATCCCAAGTCTCTTAAAATTACTGCTAACCACCTTATCTAGCCACCTTACCTAACTGTTTAGTCCCTCCCACTTAGGGAAACATGCAGGAGTCAGGAGTTAGGAGTGAGGAGCGAGGATTGCTGATTAAGAGACATGAGACGGCCTTACTCTGAAGCATCACGTAAAGCGACGTCCTATTCTGATGACGCCGGCGCAGCTGGATCTGCTGCATAACGGAGCCAGCGTTTGGTGTACATCCCAAGTCACATTATATTCGCTGATCAAAGCCGTAACCCCCACCCCCCCACCGTCATGACTTTGGTCACACACTTTTGCATGTGTTACCATTGTTATTGAGTCATTTGCCTAAGTTTGTCGCAATTAAAGAATGGTCTGTAGCCCTGCCACTGTCACTGTGATGAGCATCATTATCATTATTATTATCACTATTATTAAATCCACTCGCCATCATTCAACAAGTCAGCTGCTGAGTGAATAAGACATATCAGACCTGTCAGTCTGCCTCAATCAATCAGTTTTATTTATAAAGCCCAATATCACAAATCACAGTTTGCCTCACAGGGCTTTACAGCATACGACATCCCTCTGTCCTTATGACCCTCGCAGCGGATCAGGAAAACTCCTCAAAAAAACCCTTTAATGGGGAAAAAACGGTAGAAACCTCAGGAAGAGCAACTGAGGAGGGATCCCTCTTCCAGGACGGACAGACGTGCAATAGATGTCGTACAGAACAGATCAACATGATAAATTAACAGTAATCCGTCAAGATCGTCGGTTTTCAACCCAATCGGCTGAATAAATGTTGGCATTGTACATTTCTGCAAACCACAGATACCTTACATATGTACGATGTTATAAACTTTATGTCTCAACAACTTGTGTTTATCTTTAGGCACAAAAACCACCTGGTTATGGTTGGTAAAAAAATTTTTTGCTTAAAAGTCTAGTGTGTAAGATTTTGGGGGATTTAGTGGCATCTAGCTGTGACGACTGCACATTGCAACGAGCTGAAACTTCTCTGCAGTCACATCAGGGATTATTGTCACAAACAGAACAAAGGCCTCACACACCTAAAGTTTCCCAATGAACGTAGAAGTCACAGCTGGAGGATCCACCATGAGCATTTAGCAAGTTAGACAGATCCAACATGCACCCGTCTGTCTGCAACATCTTGGGTGTGTTTGATTTGGGTCACGTAGCGTGCTGGCAGGGTGGTGCGTTAAATCACTGACAGTAAAGTTCCTCTAACTGATGAACTAATATCAGTTTGACAGCTTTTACCATGATGTATGACACAATGCACTTTTACTATAAAGGTTTTTATCAGCCTAAAAACATGGTCTGAACTAAAACTGCAGACACAGTGAGTTGAGGTGCTTTAACCTCCACTACATCCCTGGTTAGCAGGATGAAGGCACCCTCTTGTGTTGTGCATCACTTTCCACATTTCACTTGTTAACCTGCTGTGATGTTCACTGCAGGAAGACATGTCCAAACTTCACTGAGCCTTTGGCAGCTTCAAACAACATCAGTAAAGACAGATTTAAATATATGTAATATCACACTGTGTCAGTTTGGTCACAGGAGTCACACCCTGTAACACTGATGATGCATTCAGGTCACGTGGGAAAGATGGGAGAGGAGAGTTTCCACTTTACAAATGTTATTCACATCAGCTCTCAGGTTGTAAAAAGTATTTTGCATCATATCTGTTGTCTCTTGTGTGTTTCAGGACAAAAAAACCTCTTCACACCTGAACTTAACCAAATCAACTCTAAATATCTCTCTGTAATAAATCCTCTTTCTTGACTCAGTGCACAAAGAAAATGTTCCTTGTAAAAAGCAACACGATAGAAAACTCTGCTCATTTCTCTGTGACAAAACTGTTTGAGTGAGGAAAGTTAAAGGACAGAGACTGACTGACAAACGCTCCTCTGCTCTGAACATGAACACTGGACTTTGTGGTGTTTCAGGAGGAAAACTGCCTCAGTTATACTCTCATATCAGTGTCACAGTTTCTCCATCAGCTTTGTTTGATACCTTGGAATGAAGACAAGAAGAAAATACTTTGTTCATGTTTGTTTATTCATCATGTAAACCTTCAGTTTGTGTAAAAGACATTAATGAATGATCTCCTTATTGATTATGATCAGGATCATTACAGTTTCTAGTAGCTAACTAATCTGCCACACCAACACATTAAAAGCTAATTATACATTTCTGTACAAATTTACAAGCACAATATCTGAGATAAAGGAGGTCTGCTGATGTCTCTCTTCAGACTCATGCAGTGGGAGAGAAACAACAACGTACAAATACATCCACTGAAATGTTCATTAAACATTCAGAGCACAAAGAAGTTTACAACACATTAGGGATGTAACGATCACCGATATTACGGTAAATCTCGGTTAATTTTTACATGGTAAGAATTACCATTTATGTTTAAATTAATTGCATTATCGCGGTGGATTATCAGGATGTGTAATAACAGCCTCATCCAAGTCTCGTGATGCAGGCGCTGCGTGAATGCGTAGCATGTGTAAACACAAAGAATGAAAACATGGCGGAAGGTGGTGATAGCGGTACTCAGGACATTTTCCCCCCAAATAAACGCACAAAATCTGAGGTCTGGGCAAACTTTGGATTTCTGAAGAATGCAGAGGGACAGCTGGTGGACCATCATCCACAGCTTTACAGCCAAAGCAAGGTATGCTATGCAAACGTCAGTTATTGTGTAAGGGACTTCGGTTTTACTAAGATTGTCATAATGTGTAACTCTTGACGTATATGGGACATTTGAGCCGTATCTGTCCTCCTAAATGGTGACTAGGTTTTCCGTTTTCGCTTAAGACACTTAGGAGCGAGCTACTAGCTGAGTAGCTAATAGCCGCTATGTTGCTAAGTGTTTCGAAACTAAATGGAGCTGAAAACACTGAGCGGAGCCGACAGAATATATACCAATGTAACGTAATGTAAACATATTCATTTTATATTATCGCTAATTGAAATCAACTATGATTGAATCACTATGATTATGGTTATTGTATGGCGAGCTAGAATCGATATAGACGGCCAGTTATGCTTTCTCGACATAAGCTCAAGGAAACAACATAGCACGCTACCGTGTTAACCTTTAACCTCTCGGCTCTCGGTTTTATAAGGTTAATTAAATTCACTGCTCACAATCTTGACCTAATACACACACACGAGAACATGCGCTCCTTTTCTCATACAGGCACTCCTCTCACTCACATGTATGGAAAAAGTCAGCTTATGCACCTGAATCTAAGAATGCACAAGACCTCACTGCTGCCATTTCATACTTCATCGCCAAAGACATGATGCCATTCAGAAGTGTTGAGAGGCCAGGTTTCTTGAGGCTGTTGAAAGTAGCTGTGCCACAATACAAAGTGCCATCACGCACTTCATTCTCCAAGACACAAATTCCCAAGTTATACAATGAGGTCAGAGCTGACGTTATGAAGAGTCTAAGTGAAGGCACCTTTTTAGCTGCAACCACTGACCTGCTTGAGGAGTGGATGATCAGGAAGAGTGACTTGGTCTCCATAACCACTGACAACGCTACAAATATGGTCAAGGCTTTCAAAGACTTTCCAGACCTGTGGCTCGGGTGTTTTGGCCATAATTTGAACCTGGCCATATCAAAGGCTCTTAAACTCAACAGAGTTAAAACAGCAGTCAAAGTGTGCCAAAATGTGGTACAAGGCTTCTCTCAGAGCTGGAAGAGGAGGAGGGGACTAGCAGAAAACCAAGCTGCCCTCAGTTTGCCAAAGAAGGCTCTGATCCACGATGTGGTGACCCAATGGGGATCAACCAACAAGATGGTTGAGCGTTTTCTTCAACAACAGCAAGCAATCTGTGCAGCACTGGCTGCAAAAAGGGGCGCATGGGCACACTATTAGCCATAAAGCCTGTCCTTGACCACATCATCCATAATGTCCTGCAGGAAAATGATGAGGAGCCAGCTCTGACCAAAGAGATGAAACGCGTAATGAGAGAAGATCGTACCAGCAGATACACAGAGAAGGCTAACAGTGTCATGCAGATGGCTTGTTTCAATAACCCCAGGTTCAAAGTGAGCTTTTGGGTGAGGCTGAAGCTGCAGTGGTTGAGAGCTGTGTTCAAGAAGCCTTGAGGCTGTCACCTGCTGTCCAGGTTGAGGACAAAAAACTAAGCACAAGCAGTGTCTCCACAGAGACACCAGAGGGGAAAGGCTTGTCTGGATTGCTGAGAAGAATTGCTTCATCAAAGCAGCAGAGAGCTACAGAGGATTCAGCTCCAGCCACATCAGAAGCTACAGTGAAGGAGGAGATCAAGGTCTACTTGACTCTACCTTCCATTCCAGCAGAAGATGATCCATCACAGTGGTGGAAGAGCCATGCATCAGAGCTGCCCCATCTTGCTAGGATTGCCAAGAAGTTTTTGTGCATTCCAGCAACCAGTGTACCTTCAGAGAGGCTGTTCAGTGCCAGTGGACACATTGCTTCTCCTCTGAGGGCACTTTTAAAACCAGAAAAAGTAAATATGTTGACATTTCTGCATTTCAATCTTAAATGAACATACATGATGCAATGAATGTTTGGACTTGTTTACATGGCATTGCAACTCTTAATTTGTTAAGTGCCTGTTTATTTATTTGCACATTTATGTTTATTTAAGGTTTAAAGTTTATTTTATTCAAAGTTATTTTAAGTTGCATTATTACTTGCACAAATTTTCCTGAAAAACAAGTTTTGTTCCTAATTGTTCACATATTTTGCTGACTGTTAAAATGCACCAGACAAATAAGCTTTGTTCCTGTAATTTGTTTACATATTTTGTTCATTTAAAATAAATCTTTCTGTTGCTGCTTTAATATAAGATTTTGGCTGTTAACATTTTAGTATGATAAGGAAGTTACAAGTTTTAGTGAAATTATTTCAATGTATCTATTTTTTGGACATTTTACAGTGCTTAAAAAAATATCAGGATATTATCGTTTACCGTGATAATTTGGTCACTATAATTGAGATATCAAATTTTCCATATCGTTACATCCCTACATCATGATGAGCAGTGACAGACTCCACGGCTAAACACACAGGAAGGAGCGCCACCGCAAGAAACTCAAACATTTACACAACAACTCAGGAGAAGACATCAAAGTACCCCCAATAATGTTTGACTGACAGCTGATCTCAGTGCAGTGAAGAGACGCCACAACAATCAGCTCTCAGTAACAAACATGGAGGCTAAATAAGAATTAATACACAGGATTTAACCCTTAAATGACTTCTGTCTATTTGAGCTCACACAACTCAGCTGTGTTCCCATCGGCATAACGAAGCCAGAGTCCAGCATAGAGAGGCTGAGTGAATGTGGTCTGGACTCTGTGGAGGAGAGTCATGGTTTCAGAGACGCTGTAGAAGGACAGAATACCTGCACTGTGATCCAGGTACACTCCTACTCTGGAGGACTGAGGACCTGAGACGGGAGTTTTGACATTATTGTACCAAAATACATAACAGTTCTCATGACAATATAACGCCCAAGATTTTTTATTGAATCCAAATCTGCAACCATAAGAGGTCCCTTCTCTTTTGATATTCTTGTATGCGACTGCTACACAGACCTTTCCCCCGCTCCACTCCACCTCCCAGTAACAACGTCCAGTCAGACTCTCTCTTCTCAGGACCTGAAACTCTTCAGTGAAATTGTCTGGGTGACTGGGATAAGACTGTTGTTGTCTCATGAATGTTACCTTTCTGTTCCCTTCAGATAATAACAGGAATTCATTTGCTGTGTTTGGATCCAGTGTGATTTCACGTGAATATTTTAAGAACCAAGCTCTGGTCTTGGGCTCTGGGTCTGACAGTAAAACATCCATGTCAGTCACTGTCAGTGAGACGTTTGCCCATGTCTCCCTCAGAAATTCCTGTAGTTTATCTCTGACTTCTGACACAGCTGCTGTCACATCCTCAAAGTAGCTCAGAGGACGGATGTTGATGCTGGATGAGTGTGTGGATTCACTGAGTGCTGACAGTGAGGGGTAGTTGTGCAGAAACTGGGTGTGATCCTCTGTGTGTGAGAGCTCCTCCAGCTCAGCGTCTTTCCTCTTCAGCTCAGTGATCTCCTGCTCCAGCTTCTCCTGAAGCTCTTTGACTCGACTCACTTCAGTTTCCTGCTGTGATCTGACCTGCTGCTCCACATCAGAGCGTCTTTCCTCCATGAGACGGATCAGCTCAGTGAAGATCTTCTCACTGTCCTCCACTGCTTTATCAGCAGAGCGACTGATAGCCTCCACCTCCTGTTGGAGCAGCTTCACATCTTTCTCTCTGTCCTGGATTATCTGCTGGATGTTTTGTCGACTCACCTCCAGCTCTCTCTGCCTCTCAGTCCTTTCTGCTGCAGCTGACACTGTGTCGTGGCCTTTATGTTCATCCATCGAGCAGAGATAACAGATACTCTGCTGATCAGTGCGGCAGAAAATCTTCATCACCTCATCATGACGAGAGCAGATGTTCTCCTGCAGCTTCTTGGAGGGCTCCACCAGCTTGTGTTTCCTGAACGGAGCTGAGTCATAATGAAATTGAAGGTGTTTCTCACAGAAAGAGGCCACACACACCAAACAGGACTTGAGGGCTTTCAGTTTTCTCCCAGTGCAGACATCACAGGCCACATCTTCAGCTCCAGCATAGCAGTGATCAGCAGGAGCAGCTTGGAGTCCAGTCTTCTTCAGTTCCTCCACTAAAACTGCTAACATGGTGTTTCTCACCAGGACAGGCCTCGGTGTGAAGCTCTGCCTACACTGAGGGCAGCTGTAGATTTTCTTCCCATCCTCTTCATCCCAGTGGGTTTTAATACAGTTCATGCAGTAGCTGTGTCCACAGGGAATAGTCACTGGATCCTTCAGTAGATCCAGACAGATGGAACAAGAGAAGGTTTCTTGGTCCAGCTCAACTCCTTTCTGCGCCATTTCACCTCTCAGTGACAACGCCTGTCTGACTCTCACTTCCTGAACAGTGAAACTACTTTGAGCTCTGAACTGAACATCATGTGTTCCTGCAGTGAATGGAGCCTGTCAGCTCTCTCACGTCACCACATGTTGGTTACACCCATCTTCAATCTGTAGATCTGAATGGTAGGAATCAAGGAAATGTGTGGACAGAGTGGAACTCGCTGTGTGTGAGAGCAGGAGGAGGAGGGAGGGCTCATCCAGCTTTGCTTCCTTCCAAGCAGGGGCGGATTTAGTCATATTGGGGCCCAAGGCGAAGACAGACTTGGGGCCCTCCACATCCTTTTATTGATCCTTTTATTGCTGTGGTGCTGAAATGAGAAGATAACACACAAAACAACAACAGATTAATTATACAGATACATACATTTTAACAGAATATTCACATATTATTTTTACCAGCAGGCTCTCTGATAGAATATTTAGGATGGGTCAAATACAGAGAAATGATTTCACTAGATAATTTGTACTTCCATGACTGTATGTGACAAAGATGATTTTAGCGCATCTTAGATAATGCGTCCCGTACTTTCTCATCGTGTTGTTTCATGCAGGATATATAAACGTGGACAACACGGTGAAAGATATTATTTAATTACTAAGATCGGAATTGAATTAAAAAAAGGAATATAGGCTGCCAGCCACAAACTGAAACGAAATTGTCACATTGAGAATGTTTGCTCACTCTCACCCATCTGAATCCCAAGTAGTGAAATTAATTAATGATATTACTAAAGGCTGGCAATACAACAACGCTCAAATGAATAAATGACTGATGCAAACTGAGCTTATGTTACGGGTGCGTGTCCCCTCCACCCGCAGCTGTGTTCAACTTGTTTTATAACAGGATAAACAAATATTAAATGCATTATTTTGTTTTTCCGTGTGAATAAAAAAATAATGGAAATCCACGTGCTTTTTCCATTTTCTTCTTCAAATGGGGAATTGGAATAGAAATTAGACCACAACCAGTAACCAACTTGTGTTTGGCCTTTATTGTTATATCAATATTATGTGCCCCTACTGCATAGATAGACAGATAAATAATAAATAATATTAATAATAAAAGGGACATTGCTGTGCCTCGTGTGTAAATGCGCGGTCCGGTTTTTGTGAAAAACTGGATTAAGTCGGTAATACCGGATTTTCGCCACTTGGGGGCGCAATTGACTCATTTAAAATAAAAAACGACCATAGGACAACAGAGTGTCAGTAACACCTCGTTTCTTTTATTCCTTCCTTACAAATAAATTTTCAGGTTTAGCTTACTCAGTCAGTACAAACATGAACATCTCTAGGAAAATAAAAAAAATTGTTATCCTTTTGTTTATGAACAGTGCCTCTTTGCTCAGTGCTCTTTGTATTCTAACATGTACAACATGTAAATACTGTACAGCAAATGGCATAAATTTGCAGGCCTAGCCTACTGAATGAATGCAAATGAACACATAAAAACGAAATGTCTCTATGACATGCACATGTACAAAATAGAAAATTGCCTCAACAAAAACCATTTAAAATATGACATAAATCGGCAGGCCCAGCCTACTCAATGAGTGCAAATGAACATATAATTGTAAACTGTATACAAATAATAATAATAATAATAATAATAATAACAAAAAAATACAAATCAGCAGCCTCAGAAAATTTCCATTTCACCAGGGCATAAATCGGCTGGCCTAGACTACACAGTGAGTGCAAGTCCACATGAAAACAACCTGTAAACATCATGTAGGACAATTGTATCAATAAAAGAATTGCACTGAACATCAAATAATATATAAAACACTGCAAATTAAATGCCCTTTAAAGCCTGTCTCTCTGACTGGCATAGCTTACTCGTCGTTGTCAGACTCAAACTCATCAAACTCAAGATTCTTAGCCAGAAACACCAGCATGTCTACCTTTTCCGGCTTCAAATGACACCTTTGAGCTGTAACAACATTCCCTGCTTTGCTAAACAATCTCTCAGATGCAGTGCTGGTTGCACAAATGCAAAGGTACTTGCATGCTACGTTTGCCAACAGTGGAAAGCGAAACTGGCTCTTCCTCCACCATCCAAACGGATTTTCTTCTCCGTGAGCCACTGCCTCTTGCTTGTAGATGAGCATCTCATCTGAAATCCTCTGCTGTGTAGTTTTTGGAATGGCAGGAGCGGCCGCTGCTGTGTCGCTGAGAAGACTCCTCAAACTTCTTCTCTTTTTAGGTGGCGACGGTGCACTTGCTGCCGCTGCGTTGCTCTCCTCCACCAGCACCTCGTCCTCCGGTCGCTCCATTTTTGGCCAGGGTGACGGCCTCCTCCTCCACTTTACGCACAGTGTCCTCCAACTCCGCACCGGAGAAACGAGTCCCACGATACCGTGGATCAATGAAACAGACCATGCGCATAATCTCCCTGACTTTGTCGTCGTTGTACTTACCCTTCAGTCGCGTTAAGATGACAGCTTTCACACCCCTGGTGAGATCTACGTCCCCCTCAGCAGCACACAAAGTATCAGTCTCCATGAGTTTGAGCACTGGGATGAGTGACGATATGGTGACATATTTTCCCCCCCCGAGAATGTCAGTGAAATCACTGACTGGCTTGAGGGCTTTGTCGAGGGAGGCTTACACATCCTTGTGTTGCCAGTTGAGCTTGGTGATGGCCTTTCTGTCGTTCTCTAGAACACGATTTACTGCGTCTTGCTGCTCCATCATTTTGTGCTTGGACCCCCAACGAGTTGGACAATCCTGTTGGATGATAATACATAATGGGCTATAATAGTAGCAATAGTATAATAGCAATAATACATTATGTATGAATAACGTTGATAATAATGTGTGTGTGTGTACGAACGCCTGTGTGCCCGTGCGTATACTAGGGCTGGGCGGTATGACCTAAAATTTATATCACGGTATAAATCGAATCCCTTCACGGTAACAGTATATATCGCGGTATAAATTTAAGTGTAAAAGTTATAATAGAAGTGTTTCTGAATGGGTTTTGTAGTCCCTTAGCAAAGCTGAATTGATAAAAAAACAACAACAAAAGCAACGATATAATGTAATTTTTAGATCATTTATTGTGCAGAATGCAGATCTCAAAACTCAAAATTAAAACCCAGTACTCTATGGTGCAAAATGTCCCCTGGGATCTATATCAAAAGGTAATTCCCTTCTTTTAGCAAAATCCTAAATGACTGAGTTGTGTTTTTTCCACCTGGACCTTTATGCTCTGCCATTTCTCCTCTAATCATCACGCTGTAACCTGTGACAGGCTGCTATGATACCACAACTATCACACATTCACATATGGAGTTTTTTGTGGAGCCCCTAGCGTCACATAGGTTTACATTACCAAAGGTTTATGACAAACTCTCTTGCCGAAAAACCAACTCCCGCGTGCGCACGGCGAGAGAGGAGAGGGAGAGACGCTGTGCTGCTGCCAGAGGAGCCGCTGAATGAGTTCCCTCTGAGTGGTAAGTCGCTAAAAGAGTCTGAGGAGTCACTCACTCACTCACAAGTTCTCCAGCAACACATGTTGCACGTGCTACGCTAAATCACGGACATGAACCAGCTCCTCTTGCTCCGCTGTCTCTGTCCTCGCAGCCATTTTCACACTGAGGCAGGTGCGATGATGTCATTGACGATAGGACGGTAGAGCGCAAATCTCTACCATGGGCCAAATTTATATCATTTCTACCGTCTACCGCATATTCCGTGCAGCCCTAGCGTATATACGTGTATTGTTTCATTAAATTATATCTCACCGTAACAAGCTGGTGCTCTGGCAGGCTGAGTTCTTTCTGTGCCTTCATCAGCTCCCTCTTCCTCTTCCAGCTGTGAGAAAACTGGCTAGTGATGCTGTGACAGGCTTGCATAGTGTTATCTATGGAGTTCTTTAACGGTGGATTATTCAGTGTATTGTTCACGGCAAGGTGGAGGTTGTGGCCAAAACAATTGACCCACGGCCATTTCAGATCCCTGATCGCATTCTTGATATTCAATCCGTTGTCGGTTGTTACTGCTGACAGTTTTTTCGGATCCAGTTGCCAACAACTCAGAAGCTCTTCAAGTGCGTCAGCCAAGTTTTCTGCGTTGTGGTCTTTGGGAACGAAGTGTGTCTGGGCACACTTTGACACCATCTTCCAGTCTTTGTCAATTTAATGGACTGTAAGTGACATGTACGGTGTCATACTGTGACTGGACCACATGTCCTTCGTCAGCGCAAAGTGGCTATTTGAAGACAGTACAGCTTGGACTTAATTTCTCACTCGATTGTACAAGTTTGGAATGGCAGTTTCTGAGAAGTACTTTCGACAGGGGCGCTCATACTGAGGGTCGAGTGTACGTAGCAGTCTTTTAAAAGCTGGTTTCTCAACAGTTCGTAAGGAAACCATATCTGCAGCAAGGTACGTGGCGACTGCAGTGCACTCCCTCCATCTGCGACTGTCACGCTTGTGCTTTGTGCCCTTTGCAAAGGACCCTTCAATGGAGAGCTGTGCTGATGAAGTCCCTGCAGAGGACGAAGACCCTATCGGACCGAGCCGTGCAGCGATGAGGGCATGCTGTTTTTCCAGGTGTTTCTTCAAGTTAGAAGTGTTGCCACCTGAAGCCGAAACTTTTTTCATGCAATGTTTGCATTTCGAATTATCTAAGTCTGTAGAGTTGCCTCCTTCATCTGCCTCAAAGCCAAAGTGTTGCCATATTGCCGCATTCTTTGATTTTTTTGAGACTAAATTGTCTGCCATTATTATCGACTCCCCATCCGTCACTGTTAAACAAACTCCAGGCTTCAGTATTTCTGTCCATAAAAGATTTAGAAATTCTGGTTCATGCTTTCATCTCCTTGCGATTAGATTATAGTAATTCCCTCTATGCCGGCATCAACCAGTCAGCTCTCTCACGCTTGCAGCTTGTTCAGAATTCAGCAGCAAGACTTATTACTGGTACCAGGAGAAGTGATCACATTGCCCCTGTATTGGCCTCGCTTCACTGGTTACCTGTAAAGTATAGGATTGATTTGAAGACTCTTTTATTTGTTTTTAAAGCACTCCATGGACCAGCACCAGATTATATTTCAGAACTCCTCACTCCCTATTCCACCTCTTGTCCCCTCAGATCCACTGACAAATCACTCCTTTCTATCCCACTTACAAAGTTAAAAACCAGAGGTGACAGAGCTTTCTCAGTTGTTGGTCCAAAACTGTGGAACAGCCTGCCACACACAGTTAGACTCACCCTCTTTAAATATATTCAAAGCCTGGCTAAAAAACGATCTCTTTGCCTTAGCTTTTGGTGATTCATCATGAGAACATATTGTTTGTTACACATCTTTTTCACTGAATTTGCTCAAGGCAAACTCTATTGTCTTTGTCGAATATTTTCTTGTTGTGCATAATTTGTATCCATTGTAAAGCACTTTGGTTGTCGTTTTTAAATGTGCTCTATAAATAAAGTTGACTTGACTTGAATTTATGCATGAGGCACAGCAATGTTACTTCATTGATTATTGATCTATTTTTTTTTCCAATTCAATTTTATTTATATAGTGCCAAATAGGGCTGGGCGATAAATTGATTTTATCGATTAATTCGAATTTGTAGTTTAGGCCAATTTGTTTTAATGAAAATCGAGTTTCTATTTAAAATCCGCCACTGCAGCTCCACGCTGGGCTCCCGTAGTTCAGAGTGGGCTCACCCCTCCCCCCCGCGCACTTGATACACAAACAACATGGCAGCGAGCGAGGAAGATCTCCTTAAGAAAGGGAACGAGTTCTTCAGCGCTTTTGTGTGCTCACCTGTGTGTGTGTGTGTGTGCGCGCGCATCAGGGCCGAACTCCGCCGTGCGCAACACAGAGAGCAGAGGAGGATTTTAGACGCGCACCATGTAGGGACATAAATGACATGCCGTTGTGTAAATAAGATAATAAGTGTTACCAACGCCAAGCTGGCAGACCCCCGAACCGTAGTGAAGGGACCTCTGAAGACCATTAGCTCCTTTAGCTTGTGTTAGCTCGTTGTGGCAACAACACATAAACAACGGGACTTCGTCTGCGTTAAAGAACGGCACTTTATTTTCAGCACTGCAGGGATGATGCACAGCCTCTGTCATCAGTGTCTGACTTTTACATAGAGGGAAATAACTCAAAAACAGCATGCAGAACTGCGTAGGCTTCTTCACTGTGGCTGCTTGATGTAAACAACATAGCACATGCCTCACTTTCTTCCTGGGGCGCATCCGTCTGACGTCACACACCACACCCGGCCCGCTAACGTCTCATACCTCCTACATCAACTACACACATATACAGCTCCACACACACACACACACACACACACACACACACACAAGCCACACACACACACAAGCCAGACACATCAGGCTCAGCCTGTAACATAAGGCTATTTAGTTTGTTTAATAAAAGGACAAGGTAGAGACCTGTTCTATAGGAAAGGTAACCTTAAATGACTTCTGTTGTGATCCAATATGATGGTAGGGGAAACGCTGCCGTATGATAAGAAGGGGGTCTGGTGGAAAGCGATCACAGATGCAGTTGCCATGTATATTTCAAGAGATATGGTGCCCATATATAAGCTACCGTGGAAAAGTCAGGGTTTATTCACATGCTGAAAGTTTTGGACCCCAGGTATGTGCTACCAGGCCGCAAATATATATTTTTTTTTAACTAGGAGGGGAAAAAATAGATTTAAATCGTGAATCGGATTTTTTGTGAAAAAATCAGAGATTTTTTTTTAGGCCATATTGCCCAGCCCTAGTGCCAAATCACAACAAAGTTATCTCAGGGCACTTTTCACATAAAGCAGGTCTAGATAATGCTCTTGAATCTATCTATCTATCTATCTATCTATCTAGGCCATAAGCATAGCCGATGCCAATGTTTTGAGATCCAGTAGGGGCAGATAATATAGATATAACAATAAAGGCAAAAAACAAGTAGGTTTCTGATTTTGGTTTAATTTCTATTTCAATTAGCCATTTGAAGACTAAAACGGGAAAAGCACGTGGATTTCCGTTTTTTTCTCATTCACACCAAACTCGGAAAATTAAAATGATGCATTGTATATTTGTTTATCCTGTTATAAAACAAGTTCAACAAAGCTGTGGACGGAGGGTACACCAATAGTAGCGAAACCTTCATAGGTCACATCTAAGTTTAACATAATGTTGAAAGTTGAAAACATATAGCATATGGACAAGTTATGGCATGAGATGTTTAATGTTTCATAAACATATAACATATGAACAAGTTATGGACTGAGATGTATAATGTTTCATAAACAATGGTAACTTACATGGTGATCTCCTTCCTTTCTTAGTCATGTTGATCTATTTCTTTCCTAATCATTTGAGCTTGTGAATGGTGCGTCACTTGGACGCTTTAAATAATGCCGCCGCAAGGGACGGAATTATCTCCTATATCCTTTATCTCCGTAAAGGATGGTCCAGTGTACCCTATGCTAAAGGAGATGAGAAAGGAAGCATTGAAGAACCTTTCCTTAAAATTTAGAGAATTCGACCAGCTCTTATCATGGCTGCCACTTAGATACTTCTGGGTCATTTCACTTAGTTAGGAACCTTCCTAAGCAAAAAAGACTATTCGACCGCAGTCATTGTCTTCCTCTCCCTTTTTTCTTTTTTCTTCTGTCCCTTTTTCTCATTGTCTCCCTCTCCTTTTTCTTCTGTCCCTTTTTCTCGTTATCTTCCTCTCCTTTTCTCTCGTTTTTTCCTTTTTCCTCAAACTTAAACATCTACAGCAGTAAATTATAACACACATTAAAGCGATATTAAGAAAGAATTTAAAGAACTTGTCTCTAACTATAAGAGGCACAACACAACAATGTTTATGTGTTTTTTAGATGCGTCCAAAGCCAAGATTAAGGTGGCATAATGATGCTCTTAGAATCTTGTTAAAGTACCCAAGGTGGGAAGGAGCCAGCAAGATGTTTGTGAACCGTAATGTTCCCACTTTTCAAGCACCAGTGTTGCACGATATACTGAAATCCAATACTTTTTTCAATACTTTTACGTTGAAAACGGTTCAATACTAATGGCTCTTTACTTTCGACACTAGTTTTTCTGAATGGCCACTGGGTGGCAGCACTAGCCAAGACAAGCGATTGCATCTGAGTGACAGACACCGACTTGCACACGGAGTACCTACATGAAACGTCAGCTTAGCAGATGAGCTGGCTAGTTAAATTATGTCAAGTAGCAGCTTTTATTTAAAAATATGAGTTCCAAAACAACAAATTATTAAACTGCACTTGTCTGAGGGTGTCACTGTGGTGCTTTTCAAAATGCTTAGCTGAACAGCATATTAATGTCAGCTAGCCTAAGCTATCTAGCTATGCCTTGTTAGAGTAATAGCCTTAGCCAGGCTATAATGTTACGGTGGCAGGCAGCCAGAATGGACAGTAAAACAAGGCACATTCCTAGTCTCCTACTGTTAATCTAGTGAACACATATGGCGCATAAAGAACAATAACTCCCTGCCTGACTAAAATATGTGATTAGGTTGCTGGAGTAGACTACTGTTTAAGTGGGAATGAGCTGTTTGTATAATCACGGTTTGTTGTTTTGGAACAGTAGAACAATAGTCTATGCATTCATTGTCCGCACTGCGCAGGACAATATGAAATAGGCTACTATGATAATGTAATAAATATAACTATAGCAATTTGCTTCGATATATATTAACATATGAGATTTTTAGGGTGTTTTTTAGTCTGATTTGAAAATATGATCAACCAATGTGGACAGTCTGTGTCTGATCCTTTAGGTATCGAGTATTGAATCGTATTGTTTCAGTATCGTTTTGGTTTAAAGTATCATTTTGGTATCGAGTATTGTGATACTCAATTTTGTATTGATATCGAAGTCAAAATTTTGGTATCGTGACAACACTATCAAGCACTACTCAGGAATTTTAAGTATAAATTTAGGTGTCGGCAGATTGAGTCCAGGAATGGGATTATTATGTCTTTAACTGACCCTACCAAAAGTGAGACAAGATATTCCTCCAGCCTTTGTAAATATTGGAACCATCATCTGTATGTATTTTAACCATTGAGGACACATGTCTATCTTATGTTTGTCTGTATGTGTCTTTTATATCTGGACCTTGAGTCTGTCAATAAAGATAACATATATATATAATACAAAGCTTTAACACTGACAGGGATCATTTTAATGCAGATTGAGTAGTTGTTTATAATTTACTTAGATACTCTGTAATGTTTTGAATGCATAACGTAAAGGAATACTTATAAATATAGAAAAAATTGACCCCTTGGACAGTTTTGATAACGTTACTCACTGGTTGTTCATCTCGATCTCCACACGACGGACCCTCCTGAACGGATGTCGACGTCGTTGCTGCCGGTTGATTGTTGCTGGTGGTGACGGTGAAAAAACTAGTGACTAGTGACTTTTGTCAATTTTGTAACAAATTTTCTACTCTCCTTCTTCTCTTCTCCTCCTCTTCTTCTTCTTCTTCTTCTTCTAATTTTATGGCGGTTGGCAAACAACGTATGGAAGCATTACCGCCACCTACCGAAATGGAGTCTGGGTCTGGATAAATTAATATTAACAAAACAAAACAAACAAAAACGAAATTCTTCTGATCAGACCAGTTCTACTCAAGAAATAAAACAAAAACCTGAAGCAAACCTCGCCTGAATTTTTCTGGAGGATAGTCTTTATGTTTAAAGGCACACTTTCTAACTCCAGCTCCCGAATGAGTTGCTGTCTCTCCTGGTCAAATTTGGAACAGTACTCAATAACATGCTCTACAGTCTCAGCAGTATTACATACACTACATTTACCATCAGCATGTTTCTTTAAAATAAGTAATATACTGCCTAAACCAGTATGCCCAAATCTCATCCTAGAGATAATGTCTTCCTCTTGACTTGATCTAGTTATCGGTCTTGGATCACCAACATACCTTTGAACACTATAGCACTTCCTCCCAGTGATAGCAATAGTCCAGGGGCCAAGGGGCTATTTTTCACAAATTGGTATCACTTAAAGGGACCAAACAATTTTGGTATTTTTTGACTTCCTCTATGTCTCTAGTTTACATTTTGATATGATAGACCTGACTATGTAGTAGCTTAATAAAAAAAAAATCGGATGATCTTTGGGTCCTCCCCAAAATTGAAAACAGTCAATATTGAAACTTCTCCAAAAGGGACGGTGTCTGCCTTATCACATGAATCTCGGGAAATAATTATCAGAATGTCACCAAATTTGGACTGAATGTTCACAGACAGTTGCTGCACACAATGCAGCAAATATTCTATCAGTACATTGCTCCTTTTAAAAAACATGTATACATCTAAACACACATGAACTATAGGCGGACATGGAATAAGGAATAAAAAATCCAAAAGGCATGTATACATGTTTGCCATTATTAATGTAAATAAGCCAATCACCCCAAAATTGCATTTATATGTACCAAAGAATGTCATCTTATCATAAAAGTAGGTTATTAGATTATTCACCTCACCATCTGATGTCACCAGCCCCTGACAGGTAACTAGTACAGCCAGAACTTCAAACAGACAAATAGAATGGGGCCCTATTAGTACAGGGGCTAAAGGGATAGTTTTCACAATTTAGTAGGCCCCTATCACCCACGGGGACCAAAGAATTTTGGCATTTTTATCTCTACTCTAGTTTATATTTTGATATGATAGCCCCGCCTATCTAGTAGCTTAATTACAGTTATCACTCTGTAAACAAACTTACACCCGTGTAGGCAAAACACTACAAATAGGATGAAAAATTAACTAATAGATATCCCCATGTAACTTGCCCAGTTGATCACTCATATTAAGACAAGCATTTTTTGTATTATAAATTTTCTGAAATATTTTATTTAAATATGCACCAATTTTGTTAATGAGGACAATCACAAGGAGGGGAAATTGATTACTCAGTTACTGTGCTATCACTCAGTGTTACTGTAGCCTACCGTTGGCCTACTAGCACTCAGAGCTGCCCAGTTGCTATTTGACCCATAACTAGGAGGCAAAGGGAGTGCTACCGCTTGCCTAAGGCGGACTCCCAGCTTAGCAGAGGGAAGGAGGTGCCTTATTTCTCCATTGTAGGCCGTCCTAAAATAGGAGGGCCCACCTGCTGCCCTCATCCTAGCTAACACTCAGAGCTACTATACTGAAATTGAATGTCATCGGAGAGTACAGCAATGGCAGATTTCGAATCAGGTGAGAAGAAACAGAAGCTGTGGCTGGTGAGTCCTTAAAACAGAGAGATGGCATAAGGCAGAGCACAGAGATAATGTCAACGCTAGGAACACAAATTAGAATTTAGGCCATCTAGAGCCATTATATTGTGTAGCATTTACTCTGTCACATCATTCACCGTCCACATCACTGTCATTCAGCTCCGGAAAATATTCCAGCTCATTTGCCTGGTTGCTGCAGGTTTGTAGTTCACACATATCTGTGCAATGCAGACCGTTTTGCAGGCATGGCCATTCTGAAAGTTTACATGTTCGTGAGCAGGAGCATGATAGTAGGTCCAATACAGCCTCTGGTGTAGGCGTTCCCCCGCACTAACTCAATGGCCAGATCCCCATCATGGATCTTCCATCCATGACCCTTTGGATTTGGTACACTTGGATTGCTCTCCAGACTCCTCCGCCATATAGCAGCCTGATAGTTTGCTCGTAAGGCATGCATGTAGAGACAACCTTCACAGGGTGGAAGCTGACTGGAGTCTATTTCTCCACGCCTTGTACAAAATAGCTGGTAGTGAAGCATGTTAACCTTAGTTGTGTTTGTGGAAGGCAGTTACATCTGACATGTGACCTCCTGGAGCTTTCCAAATAGGTCATCTGAGACCTCCCAGGAGAAAAGAGGGGAGAGGAGAGTTTCCACTTTACAAATGTGATTCACATCAGCTCTCAGGTTGTAAAAAGTATTTTGCATCATATCTGTTGTCTCTTGTGTGTTTCAGGACAAAAAAAACCCTCTTCACACCTGAACTTAACCGAATCAACTCTAAATATCTCTCTGTAATAAATCCTCTTTCTTGACTCAGTGCACAAAGAAAATGTTCCTTGTAAAAAGCAACACATGATAGAAAACTCTGCTCATTTCTCTGTGACAAAACTGTTTGAGTGAGGAAAGTTAAAGGACAGAGACTGACTGACAAACGCTCCTCTGCTCTGAACATGAACACTGGACTTTGTGGTGTTTCAGGAGGAAAACTGCCTCAGTTATACTCTCATATCAGTGTCACAGTTTCTCCATCAGCTTTGTTTGATACCCTGGAATGAAGACAAGAAGAAAATACTTTGTTCATGTTTGTTTATTCATCATGTAAACCTTCAGTTTGTGTAAAAGACATTAATGAATGATCTCCTTATTGATTATGATCAGGATCATTACAGTTTCTAGTAGCTAACTAATCTGCCACACCAACACATTAAAAGCTAATTATACATTTCTGTACAAATTTACAAGCACAATATCTGAGATAAAGGAGGTCTGCTGATTTCTCTCTTCAGACTCATGCAGTGGGAGAGAAACAACAACGTACAAATACATCCACTGAAATGTTCATTAAACATTCAGAGCACAAAGAAGTTTACAACACATCATGATGAGCAGTGACAGCCTCCACGGCTAAACACACACAGGAAGGAGCGCCACCGCAAGAAATATTTACACAACAACTCAGGAGAAGACGTCAAAGTACCGCCCATAATGTTTGACTGACAGCTGATCTCAGTGCAGTGAAGAGACGCCACAACAATCAGCTCTCAGTAACAAACATGGAGACTGAATAAGAATTAATACACAGGATTTAACTCTTAAATGACTTCTGTCTATTTGAGTTTGCATAACTCCACAGTGTCTCCATAATCATAAAGCCGAAGTCCAGCATAGAGAGGCTGAGTGAATGTGGTCTGGACTCTGTGGAGGAGAGTCATGGTTTCAGAGACACTGTAGAAGGACAGAATACCTGCACTGTGATCCAGGTACACTCCTACTCTGGAGGACCGAGGACCTGAGACGGGAGTTTTAACTTTGTTGTACCAAAATTTATAACTGTTTGTGTGACAATCTAACGACCAAGATTTGTTATTCCATCCAAATCCACATTCATCCAAGCCCCACACTCTGCTGATGTTCTTGTATGCGACTACCACATCAACTCTTGTCCCTCTCTTCTTTACCTCCCAGTAACAACGTCCAGTCAGACTCTCTTTGCTCAGGACCTGCCAACATTCAGTGAATCTGTTTATATGACTGGGATAAGACTGTTGCTTTTTCATTAATGTTACTTTTCTGTTCCCTTCAGATAAAAACAGATGCGTGTGTGCTGTGTTTGGATCCAGTGTGATTTCACATGAATATCTTAAGAACTCAGCTCTGGTCTTGGGCTCTGGTTTTGAATCTGACAGTAAAACATCCATGTCAGTCACTGTCAGTGAGACGTTTGTCCATGTCTCCCTCAGAACGTCCTGTAGTTTATCTCTGACTTCTGACACAGCTGCTGTCACGTCCTCAAAGTAGCTCAGAGGGCGGATGTTGAAGCTGGATGAGTGTGTGGATTCACTGAGTGCTGACAGTGAGGGGTAGTTGTGCAGAAACTGGGTGTGATCCTCTGTGTGTGAGAGCTCCTCCAGCTCAGCGTCTTTCCTCTTCAGCTCAGTGATCTCCTGCTCCAGCTTCTCTTGAAGCTCTTTGACTCGACTCACTTCAGTTTCCTGCTGTGATCTGACCTGCTGCTCCACATCAGAGCGTCTTTCCTCCATGAGACGGATCAGCTCAGTGAAGATCTTCTCACTGTCCTCCACTGCTTTATCAGCAGAGCGACTGATAGCCTCCACCTCCTGTTGGAGCAGCTTCACATCTTTCTCTCTGTCCTGGATTATCTGCTGGATGTTTTGTCGACTCACCTCCAGCTCTCTCTGCCTCTCAGTCCTTTCTGCTGCAGCTGACACTGTGTCGTGGCCTTTATGTTCATCCATCGAGCAGAGATAACAGATACACTGCTGATCAGTGCGACAGAAAATCTTCATCACCTCATCATGACGAGAGCAGATGTTCTCCTGCAGCTTCTTGGAGGGCTCCACCAGCTTGTGTTTCCTGAACGGAGCTGAGTCATAATGAAATTGAAGGTGTTTCTCACAGAAAGAGGCCACACACACCAAACAGGACTTGAGGGCTTTCAGTTTTCTCCCAGTGCAGACATCACAGGCCACATCTTCAGCTCCAGCATAGCAGTGATCAGCAGGAGCAGCTTGGAGTCCAGTCTTCTTCAGTTCCTCCACTAAAACTGCTAACATGGTGTTTCTCACCAGGACAGGCCTCGGTGTGAAGCTCTGCCTACACTGAGGGCAGCTGTAGATTTTCTTCCCATCCTCTTCATCCCAGTGGGTTTTAATACAGTTCATGCAGTAGCTGTGTCCACAGGGAATAGTCACCGGATCCTTCAGTAGATCCAGA